CTCCGCTTGGACTCCAATGGAGGATCCAGACTCGGGGGAACTCTTTTATTCGAACCAAGACACGGGAGAGGTACGCTGGGAGGATCCCACGGTTGCAACGTAACGCAGAAGCTACCGTAGCTAGGATGCCTCCTCACGGTACATGTACTGGGCTTGCTAGCTAGCAGGAGGGAGCACAATCAAAGCGGTGAACCACACAAGTACCAAGCACAATTCTAGCCAGCGGCACCCGTGATCAGCACCAAAAAAGATGGACGACAACCTCCTCCAAGAAAGCACAGAATCCATGTAGCTACCAATCAACATTGCGGGAAGAGTGGCCAAACAACGGGGTCTTGGGTTCACTTACTTGTCGTTTGACGACCGAATCCGTTGGGCCTTTGGGGCTTTTTCGAGAACAACGAAAGAAGCCCCCTCAAAATTCCAGTACGATATCTAATGGGAGGGGTAGTCGGGCAGAAGCTGCTGCCTTATGATTAGATTCTACTCAAGCTCGTTCGATGCGTTCCTTCTTTCGCTAAAGCCCTACCGTGTACTTGGAATGATCAGCGCCTGCGCAGTATAAATCATTTGAAAACAACCCTGCACTCTCATCCATGTATCTTAGTAGCTCCATTGACAAATTGAAAACTAAACGAAGAGTGTTTTTGAGTGATGCTGCGTATACCCTACCGGTATTAGACCGAGAGACTTGGATAGCATTGAGGCCTTCACCGCCAAGCATCCCGCCTTCACAAAGCATAAACAGGCTGCCTCTTTAACCCCGGAGGAGGAAGACAAAGCTTGGTCTATGCTAGTGCATGTAGGAGCCACATGAGCAAGCCGGATTGAATGATCGATCATGATCATACAAGCAAGACTGATCCATCGATGATGGTGACTCATTGATTCGTCCCCGACTGACAAGCACATGGTTCAAAGGAGAAGTTATTAACTCTTTGGTAAATCGTATAGACGAGCAAGACAATTTTTCTTTTTCAATTTTTCTTCTCATTGCCACGCTAGCTAGCACGTTGCGACACAAACGGCACAACAGCAAAAGAGGACCGAAAGGGACCAGCAGTGGTCACATAAAGAGCGCTCATTGACACCGCATTCTCCCACAAATCACCCCACCATGTTTAATTCCAACCACCTTTTGGCCTCGCTGCATTTACTGGCCGTCCGAGTGGCCATCCTCCTGTTGATGGCCACGGCAGTGGCTGCCAAAGGTGGCGGCCGGGGTGGCAGCAGCAGTTCTGGTAGTCGCGGTTCTGGCAGCGGCAGCAGTGGCAGCTCGTACAATAGTGGTGGTCATTATTATGGAAGCAGCGGTGGAGGAAACAGGGCATGCGACAAGACTTGCGGAATTGTTCTCGCAGTCGTCTTTTCGTCGATTGCCGCCATCACAGTGTGTCTGTGTTTTGTTCCCTGTTTTTTGAAACGGAAACAGTGGGAGAGATCCTGTGACGACGCAGAAAGATCTGTTCTCGAAGATGCCACCAAAACCCAGTATGGCAGCAGCAAACCTGTGGTCCATTACAGCACTTGTTCTTTTTCCGCCTCATATAATGACTCTACCTACGAAAATGGGAGCAAAACCCTACACTCCACTGGAACCCTCAACTTTGCAACATGGGCTTCTTCGCCAACTATTCAAGTAAAATCAATCAATGGCAATGGCCGTGATACCGATGGTACCTACACCATTGCCAGAGGAGCTGTTTCTATTTGGTCAGGGAAGGCTTGTTGGATTGAACAAACCTCAGGTAGCAGCACACAGTCTTTGGTGACGGGAAAGTTTTTTACCACCCCTGGGAACCCCAGACCCATGTTTGCTGGATCATTCAAATGCAACAATGGAGCCAAGGGGTCCTTTTCCCAATTTAATCTCGACATCAACAACAACGCTCCTTCGATGGGCTCTGCCCAACCTCCAAGAGCCCACATGGACGTCAATTTAGTCAGCACGGCAGCTGCATCCGTTATTCCCACCCACCAACCACCGGACGTTGAAGGGGGCGTTGAGGCAGTGTATGGTGGAATGCCTGTTGCCATGGCCCAGCCAATCGGGTATTCTACAACAACCAACACAGCCACAACGATTTCCACAAACTTCCATATACCATCCATCTTTGCTCCTGCTACGTCTTCCTATCAACCCGCGTACAACCCACCAGCTGCAGCACCCTCCTACCAACCATCGACAGCGGCCTATCAACCGAGTTACACTCCCTCTGCCCCATCTCCCTCCGACAATATTCCCTCCATCTTTAGGCCTCCAGCGTAGTGCCGTACTGCAGGAAGTGCGCAGCTAAGTCTGTTTTAATCAGAACAATAAGTTCATAAATATTGGGATACTCATGGTTTATTCCTTGTAAGGATTGGCTCCTGGCTAGATGACGGCAGAGAGCAGCACAATCACTAGAGCCAAATACGGCCAGCTTATCTGCCCTACCGGTGGGAGGTGCGGCACTTTGTCTACATACATGGTACCGGTACCTAGTTGGATTCCATGAGGTTTAGAGCATGTGTGCTTTCTAACAAATATTCACGAGCCCTTCTCAGTCTCTTTTCTTCGGCGGAAAGAACATTTCACGGCATTCTTTCCAAGAAAAGTCTGCGGACGTCCAATATCCATGTTTCGAGTGTTCTGCATCGTTGATCAAGGCAGACATCAAAACCAACCCGGCAACATACCATCACAAACTTTGAAAGACAAGCAAAAAAGACAACAACCGAAAAGTAGAAAACAGACTTGACTCAACTCCCGGCATGCATGACTGAACCACCCAAAAGCGGCCCAATCACACTTACTTCTGATCCGATCCAGCCATTGGTCTCAACGCAACCCACAAAATCAAAAATCAGAGATTGAAACAACAACAAACATCATGTTCATACTGCAACAATTTCTTCGTCAAGATGAAAAAAGAGTAATGATCAACTGCTGTCTAGCATTGATCGCACTGCGTAACTCCATGGTTTCAGCCAAGGGCGGAGGCTACAGTGGCGGGGGTGGGTCCACAAGCAGTGGAGGTTACTACGGTGGAGGGTATGGGAGCTATGGATCCAGTAGTGATGGCGACTCTACAAGTGGCCTTGTCATTGGGATTTCTGTAGCAGTTGCTGTAGGGGCGTTCTTTGTTTGCAGTACGTTGTCGTCAACGGCACAAAACCAAAAGGCTTGGAACGCAGCCTTCCTCGAAGCCCAGAAAGATGTCATGGAACCAGTTACAGACGTCACAAGGAGCAGTACCAACTATCATTTGAAGTCTTTCACTGAGGGAACTTTCGTGGCTTCGTATAATGATAGCTCGTATCAAAACGGAAACACGGAAGTGAGTTCAAACGGTACGCTCAAGTTCAAACGCGGCGACTCTGCTTCGCCACCTGCGGGTGGAACATCAATCAGCGCAAAGACCCGATCCATTGTCGGCAATGGAACTGACAGAGACGGAGACTTCGTTATCTCAAATGGCAAGGTATCATTGGACACAGGGAAGGCATATTGGGTAGAAAAGGCTAAAGGAAGCAACATCAAGAGCTTGGTGACAGGGAAGTTTTCCTGGAGTCAAAGTTCCAAGTGTATTATTTTCGCTGGATCTTTCCGGTGTACCAATGGAGCCAAAGGCAAATTCTCTGAGTTCAAAGTCTTGACACAGGATGAAGAACTAACTTCGGTTGCAGGTGCTTTCGTGGCTGAAGTTGAACCTCGCGTGGAATCAGCCTCGGTGCCTCCAATGGCTACGGCCGTTCCATTGGAGAGTTTCGGTGCTGCAGCAGTGACTACCGATATTCCCTCCATATTTGTTCAGCCCTCCTCAAAACCTTCAGCCTCTCACCCCGAACTATCAGCAACGGTGGAACCAATTGCACATTCCAGACCGTCAGCACCGGTCGACGAAACCAGGTCATCCATTCCTGATGATTCATTTGATGATGTTTCGGTATAGCGGGGCTGCTGCCTGGAATTGCCAGTACAGTCTCAATTGTGTAGTCTTTTAAACCCAAAAGTATGGTTTCTGTAACACCACCCAATCGAAGCCCCGCCCCTCAGGGCTGTCCTGGCTTTTCTTACTACTACTAGCTAGATACATACAGCACCGCGATGTGCACTCAGAGACCTGATATCCAATTTTAATTCCTTCCGAGTTTTCATTCCAACACCTCTTCGAATGGTAATGCCACGTCTGCTGAAGGGTTAAGGTCCGTTGCGCGACCGGGATGGATCATACATTCTCGAAGCGCGTGGTCTGGGAAAGCCTACTGGGTTCAAGGGGCAAACGCCACTGGCGTCAAAACTTTGGTGACAGGTAGCTTCTCGTGTGATGCCAAGCCCGAATGTACGATATTCATTGGTTATTGGTTCCTTTAGGTCCAACAGCAGGGCCACATGCAGGGCCACATGCAATCTTTAATACGTGGAAAATCACCCCCAAGAATGAACAATCAGCTTGGCATGCGCTCATTCCTGTCTTCTCTATTCCAAGTAGTGTGATGCACAGCGCCAGCACAATGGGATGCTGTGCAGCACACTTGGAAGGTATTGGTTCCATCGGATTTCAGGAACTTCGGTACTGGTAGCTGCCCTTGGTCAAAAGTCCTGTGCGATCTTGGCTGCATCCGATTGCACCTCTTGTTCGACTGTCAGCGGATACTTGGGAATGACTCCTACATGTTTTCACTGAACGGTACTTGTGCAGGTGAAGAGCTTTTAGTGAAACAAACTTCAGTCCCGGCCTTCCAACAGCGATAGCGGGTCCTTGTCAGCCAGAGAATACACCCCGGGATGGTGGCTCTTGTGGGAGAAAGTGAGACCAGCTCGAGGCACACCCTCGTCGGTCAATCCAGACACGAGCTCTACGCCAGCCATCGAGGCAGCTATATATTGAGGGCCAATGGTACTGTAGGTCATTCCTTCTCGCCTATTTCCATATTTCGTCTCGACTGACAGCCACGGTGCATCTCTTTTCGAAGTGTTTGCGATAGACTGCGGCACTGGAACTTCTCTGCATTATTCGGCAACCGATGAACGCCTTGAACGAGCAACGGAGGAGAAGACATACTCGATAGATGCAAGCTCCTTCTAGCTTTGGCAGAAACGAGAGGAATGCTTGGGAAACCGAAACAATCCCCTCGAAAAGCTCCAATGCGCACTTTGGTTTGGATGGGGCTCTCGGTTGAAAGCCAGAAGCAGCTTGAAGCTCAAGAGCCTTGGACATTTTCAGGCATGTTTCAGGTTTCTCTTGGTCATTTCAGGTATCCTCTGGCAATAATTCAATAATCCACACTCCAAGACTCAAATAAGCGATTTAGAGTTTGTGTTTCCTTTCTACGGCCTCTTGGGTCACTAAAAGAGCTTGAAAGAGTCACTAAAACCTTCCCACCACCAAGTTGCTAACTCTTTTGACTCCTTGGCTCTGTTGTTGGACAGGCGACTTCATGGCTTTCGGCTTCACGCTCCGTGGTGAGCCTTGGATCTTGATGTGTCTTGGACCTTGGAGCGAGGAGAAGCACAAGCAAGGAGAGCTCACAATTTCAGCATTGACGAGAGAGCAAACAAGCCTCACAGCAATCTCCCTCCATTCTAGCTAGCTAGCTACTCATTATTTTACAAGAAGAAGAAGAGCAACCATGGGACAGTGCCAATCCACTCAAGCCGCAGTTCTTGATGCCACAAACAAGCATTCACCTTCGGGAGCGTCGGTTGGATCACACACTGGAAACACCGTAATCTTGATTTCCCAAGAGCTGCACAAGACATTGGTGAACAATCCTTCAGAGTCCTCCAAAGAGTCGCTAAGCAGCTACTATAATGACGAGGACGATGCGGAAAGCATGCAAGATGATAGCAGTTGGGCCCATTTTGAAACCACCCCGGTCCACTGTCGGGAGTCCCTAATCAGTTTGGGCACCACCCATGATCATGATGACTGTCACTCTGCGTCAACACTGGGCTGGTCGGAAGAAGAGGACACTGCACGGAGGAGTACCTTTGTTCCCGCCACGAGAAGACTCTCCATTGAACCTGCCATGGCTGCGGAATACGAAAAGGCCCTGATGGGAATATGTAATGAAGCAAAATGATGAATCCATCTCCTTTCTAGAAAGATGCAAAGCAAAGCTTTAGGCAGCCACCAAACAAGTTCATATCTGATCTCGCAAAGCCAAACCTTTGGCCCCCACGTTGGTCCTCAATTTATCTCCCCTGATCCCAGGAACCTAGTCCTGAATTTTGACTCTTCTTTGCCCAAGCCTGGCAATAACTCACTTCTGTAGATAGCCTCCCTATTCTAAAACCCCCTATATGATAAACCCTGCAGAGTAGTCACAGTTTTAGCTTAGCCTATTGAACTCATATATAAGCCGCAAATCCTTCATCAACCGATGCAGTAGAACCCAACTTGCGCTTGTGATACTAGCTAGTAGTAGATGCCATATCATGCGGGCTGACATCGCCACAGCAAGCCATGCATGCATGCTTTCTTCGCACTTTTCATGCATGCATTCATCATTCGATCAGTCATCACTGGGTTGGTTCGTTTTGCCCCAGTCATAGTACATTTGAAAGGTCTGTGTCAAAAAGTCTCCAAACGTCATGCCATTGGTCGTCCATCGTTGGTGCAACGGCAGCACCCAGGAACCTAGTCCTGAATTTTGACTCTTCTTTGCCCAAGCCTGGCAATAACTCACTTCCGTAGATAGCCTCCATATTCTAAAACCCCCTATATGATAAACCCTGCAGAGTAGTCACAGTTTTAGCTTAGCCTATTGAACTCATATATAAGCCGCAAATCCTTCATCAACCGATGCAGTAGAACCCAACTTGCGCTTGTGATACTAGCTAGTAGTAGTTGACATATCATACGGGCTGACATCGCCACAGCAAGCCATGCATGCATGCTTTCTTCGCACTTTTCATGCATGCATTCATCATTCGATCACTCCTCGCTGGGTTGGTTCGTTTTGCCCCAGTCATAGTACATTTGAAAGGTCTGTGTCAAAAAGTCTCCAAACGTCATGCCATTGGTCGTCCAGCGTTGGTGCAACGGTGGCACTCGTTTGCTTTCCAGCAGGTCATCACCGCCAGTCGGTGTCCACAATGGAAACGTGGGCGGGGTATCGACAAAGGCAGCCAAACTAATGCGCGCCACTCCATCAACGCCACTCGAACGAACCATGTGCGGTGTGGCACAGACGGCACCCCCCGACAGAATTTGCGTGCACTCTCCCATTTGAATGGCCAAACAATCGGGGGGAATGACGACGCGTTGTAGATTGTCGTGTCGATCGGCCACGTAAAGTCCTGCCTTGTTGTCGGGTGCATCATCCATAATGGCACCCGCTGCATGATCGACATAGTAGTCACCCGCCAATGCCGTCAAGAATCCCGAATCATTGTGCCAACCAATCCAGGAATTTTTATTATTGTTGTTGTTGCGGCTGGTGGTTGTTGCTGCTGTTGATTTCGGAAAGTAGTATAACAGACGACACTTGACTTTTTCCGTATCCGCCAGTGCCTTGGATAGAGTATCCGGTTGATAGTTTGCTTGTTCCTTGGCTGATAATTTGTTGCAAATGTAGGCATCCAAATGTGTGGCTAGACCGATCGTGACGTCTTTCAAGAGCAATCCCATGGTTTTGGCCGCCGGTTCCAATTCGGGAAGGCGGTCGCTTGGCCACAAATTGGAGGGGTACGACAAGGGGTATTGGGCACGGTCTTGTTCGGTTCCGGGACAATCCGTGCAGGGATTGTAGTAAAAGGATCCCTTGGCGTAGTCCGGTTCCCCGTCTCCCAGTTTTTCTTTTCCATGAGACCATCCGGCGTTGTACAAGGAATCGGCATCCGTCAATTTGGAATCCAAATACTCTTGGGGGAGATGGACCTATATATACAGTGTGCATTAAAATTTGTTAGTACAAAGATACCCAACCAATGTGGCAGTCAAGTCTTCTGCAATGCAGCCATTATCTACACTTCTTTTTGATTCTTCGTCAGTTAAAAAATGCTTACCAATTTGTGCGCCATGGGTAGCAGCGTGGATTTGGCCTCCAAGAATCCTGGCACGTTGCGCACTGCCAATAGACCAATTCCATTCGGACCAAACGCTTCCTCGATGGCTTCCAGCATCTTTGGTTTGGTATCTTGTTGCTTGAGGTCCTCATAGTCAATGACTACCACATTGGCAATCGCCACAGACTCCTCCTCTTGGTGGGACGTCTTTTTGGTTTCGTCGCTCATCGTGGTCGCTTGGTGGATAGATGCTTTTATGCTGTTATTGTGGACACCCCTTGGATATTATGAAAGGGCGGCAACGCTTGAGTCGAGTCAGAGTCGGAATGTCATTGGAAAAGCGGAGTTTCATTTCCATCTTTTCTTCCCCTTTTCTTTCCGCTCTGCCGGATTATTTCTGTATCTACACGGACCACACCACGAACTGCATTTATAAGGGGGTTTTAGAGTGCATGTAGGACTGCATGAATGAGGCGTGAGATGCTGGGGCAATTCCTTTGGCAGTCAGTAATCGATTGCTCTTCATGTAAGTTAGTTTCGCTGTTCACTGGTATTCATCGTGTATGCATAGCTAATCGTCGCCTCGTGTTGACAAGGCTTTTTATTATCATTGCCAACATCACAACATTGCAACCGTTGTACCACGACACCGACTGGGTCAAACGAGCCAGATGTGGAACACCAATCTTTCGAAAACCAAAACCAACATGAAGAATCGCAGCACTAAGAAGGGGGGAGGAAGAAGGGACAAGAAGAATCAAGATAAAAGTACATCCTCGATTCCTGGTGCAGGAGACAAATCAGGAAAGAAGGAAAAAACACGTCAAGGCTGCCGCCATTGGATGCCCACTGTGAGGGTTTGAGTGCTACATTGTGACTACAATACTCATTAAACTACCTAACATCCTCAACTGCTGCTACAGCAACATTTCCTTTCCTTTCAGTTGAGAGAACTATTTCCTTGCAGGAGTGGAAGCAGGCTGACCATTCAGGTTGTTCAGGATCTCATGATCCCTCACAATCTCACACGCCCTCAGATGCGCACCAGGCTGCATCAATTGTTCTCTTGTCATGTATTCGGACTCCCATTGCATGATACTCTCTCTTTGCGACTCGAAAAGGGCCAACGGTTGTAGCTTCGTTGCGATGTCCGCGAGCTGATACCGACTGGGTATCTTGTGCAACGTGATCAACTTCTTCGTCACGTAGCTTCGAAAGTGGTGCATCTTCACACAGATGTGCTTGGTGCGAGGACGCATCTTAGGCTCCAATGCCATCTCCAATGCTCCACTGTTGTCTTCAAAAACTTTGCAGTGCACTACCGGTGGTTTGTCGTGTGTCCTCCAACTGAGCTCCTTCTTCGACTCGTCAATCAACTGCATCATACCAATTACGTCTCGCAATGCTTCTGACATAGCATTGTACTCTGCTTCCGTTGTTGATAGGGCAACTTCTCTCTGTAGCTTTGATGCCCACGTAACTGGACAGCCACCGTACATCAAAATGAAGCCGGTTCTTGACTTTGCTGTTCCAGGATCAACGTCAGCTGTTGCGCGATTCCAGTTTCCGACAAAATCGGCATCCACAAACACGTCGAATGAGCAGGATTTTGGATTCAAAATGACTCCTTTGCCTTGCGTCCCAATCAGATACCTTCCGATCCTCTTGACTGCTGCTGCATGGGATGCTTTGGGATCTGTCGAGAATCTTGCGCATTGATGCACTGCATAAGCGATGTCAGGTCTTGTCGATTTCTCCAGAAAATTCAACTTTCCGATGACACTCCTGTACATCCATTCTTGGTCCATTTCCTCCCCATTGACGTCCCTCTGAAGTCTGACCGTAGATAGGGCTGGTGTGGATTGCTTTTTCGTTCCTTCCGTGAAACCGAGGTCGTCTATGATCTGTTTGATCATGTGTGGCTGGGATAGTTTGATCGTTCCGTTGGGAAGAGGTTCCACCTTGACTCCGAGGTAATCTGAAAGCGTTCCTTCGTTCGTCATGTTGAAAGCTCTGTGCACTTTCCCATCTTTGTCCGTACAAGGCTTTGCCATAGAGTCATAGGCATCGTCGATCTCCTTTGTAGTAGGTGCAATGAAGATTCCATCATCGACGTAGATTAACAACACAACGGATCCCTTGTAATAGACGCACATGTCTACTGTGCTCTGCTTGAATCCTCTTGCGATCAGCCCATCATGCATGTACCTGTTCCACACTCTTCCGGCTTGCTTTTGTCCGTACAGATTCTTCTCCAAGAGCAGGCATTCGTCGCCTCTGTACCTTCGTTTGTCGCTTGTTTGTGCCAGTTTGGCCCTTCCTGCTGTCCTATCCACTTCGAATCCTTGTGGGATCTCCCATCTAAGAAGCGCATAATGGGGTCTCGCGAAAACAGCGAGGTCTGGAAGGTACCGAACGACATGCGTCCCTAGGCGATTGGTGACGTCATTGCTCCCGGATTTGGATGGTGTTTGTTGTGGAACATGTACTGGGTTCTCCATTGGGTGTGGCAGTATGCACCGTTTTGGAACCCTGCATGCATCCTAAATTCCAAACCCCATAGGTACCGACCAATTTTGTGGTCCCGTTTTGTCCGCTATGCCATACCAATGAACATGGAAACTACATACAGAATCCGGTACAGAGCGGTTTGGGGGTTAGCTTTTGGTAACCACACTCACATTTTGTAAGGTCGTGTAGACTTTGCCTAAGGTATTACAGTTCCTTTATACGGGCTAGCGATCGGCAATTACTACTAGCTAGCTACTACTACTAGTTGTATCATGGGTTATTGGTATTGCGACTACTGTAAAGCTTGGTTTGAAAGCAAGAGGCACTAAGTGCTCACACCAACCAATCTCGGAGTTGCATTGCAG